ACACACACACACACACACACACACACACACACACACACACACACACAATTACTCATCAAGGTAGAGAGATCATTGGCTGCATGTGCAAAAGTGTGCTGGGCTACACACGGTCGTTGCAAAAACCAAAGTGCCATTTGTTTGAACATATCAACAGAAACCCTGTGTGGATCGAGGACCATTTCCTTGGTTAACCAGGTGTCATGCGACAAGTGAGAAGGTCAGAATGTGAATGCCGTCGTGTTGTTTTATTCATGTCGGAGGCACACGGTGTCATGAAAAATGAATGGGCTTCCTCTCATTTACCCCAAAGCCTAAATGGAGGATTAAACCTCGGTTGAAAAGGGAGAGTACGACATGATAGCAATGTGCAGACAGACAGCGGAGGGAGATGAAGTAGAAAAACACAAAACCGTTTAAAAGAAGAAACACACGAGCAAATGAATAATACCAGCAGTATATATATATGCTCACTTCAAAAAAAATCAAAGAGGGTGAAAAGACGGCAGGGAAATGGCATTATTTTTTTGGCAGGCAAAAAGAAATGTGTCATGTTATGCTAATAGAAACAGAAGAGACAGTGGTGAGAAGGTGGGCGAGGAAACAAAGACGGAGAGAGAGGAAAGGTAGAGAAACGGCGTCCTCTGATCGGTAGTGTGTTGGGAAGACGTTCAGGCAGCTCTGCAACTTTTCACCTCTGTTCTGACACCACTGCCACGGAGAGAGGGGGGATGGATCCAGCCTAGCAACTCGGCCAGCTCAAGGTAAGGGAGGGGACAGTTGTGAAGATCGAGCGGGGAGGACAGAGATGAAGAGGAAGGAGACTCATAAAGGGAGAAGCTGAGCGACACACTGAGGAGGGAAAGAGGATCTTTTGCTTAAAAACACTCAAACTAACTCGCAGACGACTGCACCAAACTTAAAGAGACGTGGACGCGGAGCGGGTCGTGTTGCAGTGCCATTCATAACGGCAGAAGGACGCGCATCATTCCTCCACGGATCACCGAGATAATCGCTTTCCGTCCCCCACTGCCGAGGCCTGTATCTCCCACAGGCTGCTGGCCGAGCCTGAACATAGATGCACACATGCTGCTGCTGCTGCTGCTGCTGCTGTTGCTGCTGCTACTGCTACCGCTTGGCAACCTGCCTGATGGAAGAGCAGCAGCAGCAGCACAGGAACACGGAGGAACGTCTAGATAGACAGCAGCAACTGCCTGCGCTGTAAACACAGCCAAACTGCTGCTGTAACAGAAAGTACAGTAAAGGCATGGCTGTGCAGACAAAAACAAGGCATAACAGACACATCTTGGACAAGAAAAGAGAGTAAAGTCGGACAGTGAAGACTTCTTTTAAGAAAGCAACGCAGTTAATCTGATCTGCCTGTCTGTGTCACAGTGATGACTGGATGCGGATTTCTGCGTTAACACTTTAAGCGAGGCACAATGTGTGACCTCCAGCCACACAGCACCACATGCAGACATATTGACATTCCCTCACTTTTCTCCCAATGTGCACCCCCGGCAGCTATTCTGCAGCAACGCCAGCGCTCCCCTACTACAAACAGCCGCTTGCATGCTACATTACGACCTGCCCCATCACCTGTTATATCATACCTTTTATGGCGCGGAGCCCTTTTAGCCGAGGCAGCTAACAACACAGCTTCCAGGGGTGTGAATCTTTCTCTCTCTCTATTCTGTTTCCCCCCCCCCGCCGCTGCTGAGCACAACATCTGACGCTGCATATGTCTAATGGCGACTGCTCTCCCCACCACCCGCCCCCAGCCTCTCTCACTTTTCTCTCTCTCTGAATCCCTCCTTCCTCCTCGATCACTCTCCTTTCTTGCTCTTGTGCAGTGAACAGGGGGACGGGGAGGGGCGGAGTGCGCAGGTTTACATGTGCGGCGGTATAGTGAGAGGGAGAGAGAGACTGGTGCTCTGCATCCTCGACGCCGCTAGGACGCTCTCAGTGGGCCCAAGATGGGGAATAAAGAGCGGGGATAAGAGGAGGGAGTGAAGGAAACAGAGAGAAAGGTGGAGACGGGAATTTGAATATGGAAAGGGAGGGGAAATAGAAATGTTACAAAGAGGGAGCGCAAACCTCAGTATGCTTACTCAGCATAACGACCACAACCATGACCCCCTTATGCAAAGCCATCTTTCTTTCTCCCCCCCCCCAATCAGGAAAAGAACAAACAAGCCCTTCGCACTAAAATAGGCAGCAGCCAGGAGCTTGCTGTGAGGCTCTGGCTGAACAGAAGGAAAACAAGCCGAGAGGAGAGAAGGCAGAGAGATGGAGACAGCGTGTACAGGCCCGGAGCAGATTCTGTTGTTGCCATAGAAACAGCCCCGGTTGGTGAGCATGGGGGCACGGGGAGGGTGGTGGTGATGATGATGATGGGATGCTACTGGTGCTGATGGTGGATCAGGATGCAAGGGGGGGGAGCTAAAACTGACAATGCTGCACACACACTTATGTAAATTCTCACAACTCGAGCTGTATGAACTGGCTAAAGAAACAACAACATACGAGTGCTTTTCCAAAAAAATGAAGTCCACTTGCAAACAAGTGCACAAAGTCCGAAGACTTTAGGTGGACAAGGTTGTGTGCATCTTGAAGATGAAGTGATGCAGCCACACCTCGGCTCGGCTGAAGGCAGAAGAACCCGATCAACGGGTTCATTTTGAAGGATTTTTTAGTTTTTACGCTGTTGGGGAATTTGAATATGTGAATTTACCTACGGTGACTCAGAGGCAATGGAACTTCCAGTTGTGCATCATTAAAAGCAAAAGAAGCTTACACATGTATCAACCCGTACTACAAATAAATGTATGAGGCAAGTTTAGCATTGCCATTCTCATGTCTAAGCTGCTGTACTAAACAGGTGCGATACTTTTTCTTATTTACTTTGTTTCAATATCAACAGACTTCACTGTTACTCTCTGATAACAAAAGAGTGATAATGAAGGAAGCCTCTTTGTAATGGGTCAATACAACAAAAAAAATTGGGGAAGTAACTTTATCTCCATAAAACGGAGACACTTGCAAACAAGTGCAAAATGTCCGAAGACAAACAAAACAAAACAATGAGCGAAGCGTGACGATAGCTCAATAATGCCATATTGTGGATTGATTGCCATATCAGACATCGGTGAGAGAAGCAAACACAAAGAGAGCAACTGGAGGGCAACCAGCGCTGATGTAATACCATCCAGGTTATTCATTAACTCGCTGCATCACGTCACCTGTGGCCAGAGCCTGGAGTAGACCAATATAAAGACGGCTCTTCGGTTTATACAATGGGAGACAGGAAATGTTTTGTTTAGACCACAAAGAATTACATCATCAGAGCACCTCACGCCCTTCACCCGGTGACACAGGCTCTGTCTCTCATGAACGGAAAGCTTGCATCTGCATGCGTTTACACTTTCTTACATGCGACCACAACAAGGGACTCCGCAGCCAACACCGTCAACACGGGGCTGCTGGAGGATTATAGGGTCATCGGTTTACAGTGGAGAATTAAGTAACAAGAATTACAGATTGTGTTTGTGTGTGCTGGTATGCCTTCAAAACACTGCATGGATTAGTTATTAGGTATCAGATATCTGGTCTGATAAGAGCATTTCTAACCTATTTCCTGACAGCTTTCGTTACATTAGCTGATTTCTAAGACTAAATTAGTCTTTGAAATTAAGGAAAATAACCTTCAATTGAGGGCTCTCAATTTAATTCTCTTGACTAATCTCATTTTCCTAAAACCCGAGTTGCTGTGTAAATATTGCCTGTTTTGTCTGAATAACTCAAGTATATTTAGTTTACTATCACATAAGAGAAAGAAAACCCAGCAAATCATCAAGTTGAGAAAATGGAACTGTAATGTTTGGTTAGTTTCTCGAAAGAAAATCACAGTTAATGGATTATCAAAATGGCTGCAATTCAATTTTTTGTCAATAGACTAATCGATAAAATCTACTTGAGTGAACTGACTTGAATTTCATCTGCAAACCCTTATTTATGAATGCCTGTGTGGCTGACAGCAATATACTCCAGCAGCTGGATGTGAATAATAAATGTGTTGTTATAACAAAAAGGTTTAATAGAGTGACAGGCCTGAAGTGAGTAACATGGTAATGGGCTCCATGGGGGAAAAAAACAGTGTAACAAGAGAAGTGCTGTTACGGTGATCATGTAATTTGGACAAAATCAATTCCTGGTCAAAGCCCTGTTGGGGCAGAAGCGTCATCATACTGTAAACAACATAACCTGGTATAAAGCCTTCTGGTGACCTCTAATCAATATGCTCCCAGTAGGCTACTGCAAACGGCAGGATCATATAACAAGCTGGGACTACATAGGAATCTATCATAACAATAATCACGATATAGATACTGATGAAAATAATACCACGAATACCTGACATGAAATACACTGCCTATAAATAGCGTATAAATAAAAATGTGGAAAATCAACTCATCAAAAACTGCTTATCCTCAGATATTGAGACCAATAAAGAGATGGGGCGCACAAAGAGATACATGGAACATTGTGTCCTGTTTAATAACAACGATGGACGGTAAGCGGTCATAGCGCCCCATAATAAACCGACCTAGATTAGAAATAAGAATAGAACACAATGCGGACTAGCGGCCATTGCCTTTACAAACGTTGCACAATTAGCATCAAGCAATATTAAAATACACGTTCATGTGCAGGTTCACTGCGCGTTGTCTGAGTGGGAAACCTGCACTGTATTGTTGTGACGCGTGGATATGTCTGCATGCGAAAAATGAACCACGTACTCCATTGATCGGACTGTGATGAATATGAACAACAGCGCTCAAATTAAACAGAGAAATATATAAAACATGTATTCTACCTACCTTGAAATGGTCGGACGGTAAATGACCAGATGTTGGTCAAAATAGAAGAATCGATAACTTCAGCCTGGACGGGTTTAATTCCCATAATAAGACGGGAGCGCACATAAAGGGGGGAGTGCACGCTGACAGGCTCGCCGCAGCAGAGGGAGGGGGGGGGGGGCACGAGCACAGATAGCGAGCAAGCGCTGCTAACGTGAGCTAGCTCTGTGGGCAGCAACACACTAGATAACAACACTTCTCGTTCCTACGAATGCATACACGCACGCACACACACACACACACACACACACACGCACAAGCGCGCGCGCGCACACACACACACACACACACACACACTCACCTCGGGCTCCACGCGGCTCCTGTGTGTTATTCAACTGGCCTCCGTGTGTTAGGGGGGAGAGCCGCGGTGTCTTCATGGGGCTGGCCGGTGTTTACCTGGCTGTGTGGCGGGGGACAGTGCAGCTGACGGAGGGTGACACCGCCAGGAACAAACGAGACATGAAAGCGCGGTGACAGGCAACAAACCTCCCCAGTAGTTGGTCAGCTCGTGGAGGGATAGATTCGCTTTGCTAGGTAATAGCTGTGCATGTGTGTGTGTGTTGGGGAGGAGGAGGGGGGGCTAGTTACAGAAGGTGCACTTTAGCACTTTCTTGAACTAAAGCGATGAGGTCATGGTTCAGTAGGGAGAGCGGAAAAAAAGGAAAAAACTATGAGGTTGACGTCACCTCGAGCCAATCAGCGCAGGCGGCTCAGGGACCGGGTGACGTCAACGTTGTGATCCGCGGATTAAAGGGACAGTTCGGCTTTTTTAAAGGAGACGCGCAATAACTCGTGCAGTCCACAGTCTGTGGTGCAGTCACTGGGCTGCCATAACAAGAAGTCAGTCCCAGTGAGGAAAAAAAAACAAGAATTACCACTAACATGAGATTGTTTTTCAAGCAAATCAGCGTCATAATGTGCTGATTATTATATTATTTCATAATAATCCCTTACAGGAATGTTGCTTTGAGTTGTTTATTTGTTTCACACAGATTGCTACAAAAATATACAAAGGCTGACTTTCTGTTTTTATGTGGACACAATAAAGCCCGACTTTCTCACAGGTATTGCAACATTACACATGTTTTATAGGGATTTAAAGGCCATACACACCCGCAGGTGTTTTCCATTACCCTGGCTGATTATACCTCTAATTAGGTGGAAATTGGGTGAGGCTGTGCTGGGATTTACGTTATGTCACTGTGTACTAAATGGAAGGGTAGAGGTGGAATTTGTAACAACAGAACTAACAGGAGAGTGAGGGGGATGCCAACAGAGCACAGTCTGTAGCTCACACGGCCCTGAGAAAAGCTCTAAGCAGGGAACATAAGTGAAAACACCTGTGTGGGTGTGTTATCGGTATGTAGGGACTTTAAGAGAATATTTATAAAAACACATTCTGATCTTATATATGGTAACATAAATTAATATTTACTTATCCGCAGTATCACATTTGTACTAACCACTAATCAAACAGTTGCAATAAGTGGGTGTTTAAATTCAGTGTCATGAATGGACCTTTTCACTGCAGACATTTTGACATGTTTTAGAAAAGCACAGGTGATAATGATAACATCCATGATGGCTCAGTTCCATTGACTGAGCTATTCCAGAGATTCAGCATGCCTCAGTGGAATGCATACCGTTAATGTTATTAAGTGTTATCAATATAGTATTTAATACACCTGGGCTTTTCCTTACTATGACATGTCAAAATGTCTGCCTCGAAAAAGGCCTAATCTCTTTTGTTTGATTGAAAGCCTTTGTTCTGTTGCTCTGCCAACTACATGTGTCAGTGAGCTCGCAGATGAATGCAGGATAAAAAAAAAAGCTACTGGCACTATGTGTAATTACATTGTATATACTGACACCAAGTGGTAGAAATATTTAACTGCACTCTGTGGTGCAGGTACAGTAAAGGGGTGCAGTAGTGCAGGGGTTCTTAACTCTTTTGACCTCGGGGCCCAACTTTTCAAGTACAAAGTGTCCCGGGGCCCATTCAAATATTAACACTATTAGTTTAACTAATTGATCTCACTCTTGGTTTGATTTGTATTCAATAACTATATTGTTACCTGTTCAACTCCACCCCTATTTTGGAGCAAAACCGCCTAAAATGACATACCCAAATTAAAATGGCTGTAGCTTCTGAACCACTGTTACTATATGCATCAAAAGTGTCAGAAAACCTGTAGGTCATACAGAAACAGAGCAGTGGGCCTTTGGAGTCAGTACAAATTGAAGATTTTTGTCCGCATAAAATAAAAAGTATCTTTCAGTATAAATAACTGCCTGTGGCTGTATATGTACAGGTAAAGGACAGTATAGGGCTGTAACTACACTATCAGTGAACAACTGCCCAAATGGACACATGGTAACCAAATGATATTCTGACACACTAAAGGTGTTTCTCCCTTTATATTTTGACATTATATTATTTTCCTTTTATTTTCAGCCTTTGCAAAAACTATATATATATAACTATAAAGTCGAAGACGTGGTGTGTGAGTAGCGGACTTGCTGTGCGTAATGGCTGCGTCCGAGCGCACGATCGAGTATGCGGGTAGCTCCGTTACGCAAGGTTATACGTTGGTTCACGGCTTACGTAAGATGAAGATAAGGTTTGTAGTATAAGTACTAGCGTTTTCTGAAGCCACTAGCTCCATGGTAACATCCGCTAGCACATTGTCGTGTCTCTTTCCGTCGAAATGCTTCAAGATCCGACTTGCAGCGGTTATGGCGACTTTGGACAGTGTGTGTTTGGGCTCCTTTTGTGAAAAATCCATAAGAAATGAAAGAAAATCGATGATTTCTTTGCAAAGATGTGGATTCTGGGCATGCTGGGATACCCAACACGGCCATGTTTTGTGACGTAGTTTGCGCAAGCAAGCCGTAGGAACGGAAGGGGAGGGGATCGAGGACGCCGGTGTCCTCGCGGAGTTAAACAGGCAAAACCCTTGTCAAATAAATGAGATGATACAATGTGATGATCACAAAGACATTTATTTATCATGTGTATGTAAACCTGCATACACAACAAGAAGCCAAACAGGCTTTCCCACGAGCGTTGGATGTTTCGTCGCTAGGTGTGGCTTTAGTTTCGAAGGCTTCAGTGCTTCGTTTGATAGCATTAGCCCACATTCCACACACTGAGCCCTCGGCTCTGCCTCGTTGCCTCCGTTCACAAAGCCGTACTTAAGAAAGTCAGGATTGTACTTGCGCACGCATTTAGACTTTTGGGGAAGTATGGCACCACTGTCGTCTTCATTTTTTCTTTTTAAAAACTTATCCATAACTTTCGCTACAGGCTAGCGGCTAGCTGAGTATATTCTTCTGCTTATTGTAGCTTGTTAAACAACTGACTGACGCATTACCGCCACCAGGTGGTGGGAAGCTATATTGTAACTGAGCGTCTCATGGATAACTAATATCTCTGGTGTCTTCAATTGATAACCTATGCGGTCCCGCGTCCCTCGCGGCCCACAGGCGCAAAACTGAAAGTTTTTTGCGGCCCTCTAGGTGGCGCTCGCGGCCCAATCGTGGGCCGCGGCCCCATGGTTAAGAATCACTGCAGTAATGGATATCACGTCTCCAGAACACAAAGCCAATATAGCTTTGTCATAAACCTTTAAATCTCAAAGCCATATTTTGATTACAAATTTCATATTTTTTATTTGTTACTCACAGTAATCAGCTTCACTGGTGCTCCGGTTTAAAAGGAGCTTTGTGTGTCGTTGAGTGATTGAGAGTCACAGAGAGAGCAACACAGATTCATGAAAATCTACCTTTATTTGGATGCAAAAACTCACAACTTAAAGCGATACTGTAGCAGGGAAGAGGAATACTGATTGCTGGTTGGTTGTATGCCTGATTGTTTGGCTATTTCCTCATCCCCATTTTGATCACCGGAGGAGGACCAGGTAGGTAAGCATAGAAAATAAGCACTCAAAATAATAGCTTTTCAATCGAGTACACTGGACATTATCAGAGGATTATGTCAAAAGTCTAACAAAAAATTGTAGCTTTTCTTATCCATCCCAGTCTTATTTTCCGGTAAAACGTAATTTTGGCAGTTTAATTTGCTAGTTTATTCGATGTCTGCCACACAGTTAACTCCATCCTCTGATAATGTTCACGACTGTTGATTTGATGCATTAAGTCAAGATAGAAGTTGTTTTAATCAGATTTTTGTTAGAAAACTGTCTTCACTGTTTTAGCTGCCTTACACATAGCGATTATTTCTCGTGTTGTCAACTGAGAGTGGCCTAGAGTCACAGATGGAATCGAGTGGGGACTGCATAAAAACTCAGTCTGAGGTAAAATTCTCTAAGAAAAACAATAAAAACATACACGGAAAGCAAAGCATATTAAAGCAAAGCCTAGAGGCATAAAGTAATAATACTGAAGACTGAACATAATCTATTTATTTTCTTCACCGTAAGGTAACTTAGGTAGTTGTCACATTTTGTTCTGTCAAATCTTGCAATATAAACCGATGGTTTGATCCACAGTATGAGCTACATTCCATCATGGTGTAAACGGAAATATACACAAGGCATCTACTCGAAAGGATTGTATCAAAATGTTCTAAAAATATCTCTGGTTGGTGTCACAAAAGCAAACTGTATCAAAAGCATTGGCCGAGAGCAAGCAATATAATAGGCTTAAACCCTTTTACACAACAAAAAGCAGGACAACCAATCACGTCGCTTTGATTGTGGACCTATGGAGTCCCATACAGCACATGCAATCCATTAAACTCAACACAATCAAAACACAATACGGAAAAAAAAGAACTTTTACAGCTAAACATCAGAGACAACCTTAGTTGGTCTATTGTGCTTCATACAGATTAGGTCTGGCCTGTCTATACAACAATCATGGGCTTCTTACTTCACGGATGTGTTCAAGCTACTGTTGAAAGCAGAGGCATCACGGAGCACGTGACTCTGAGGGCGATAATGATGGGAATATGACATTTGCAAGAACATTAGCTTTATGTGACCAAAGGTCATCAATACATGCATTTCATTTTCTTAATGCAACTTTTTGCTTTCCTGTGCGTTACACTTCGCTGTGTGTACATGTCAGATTCCCCGGAGCTTTTTCTGGGCTTTTGCATTGATTTTTCAGATGTTCTGATTCTATCTCTGGCCTCTGTCCCCTCGGTGTCTCCGGCTCTGTGACGCCTCTGACTGTACGTCTATGTGGCCTTAATGCAGGAGTTGTTTACTGTAAACATCATGGGCCATGAGGACTGCACAGGCAGCATGGTCAAACTGTAATACTGTAGATTGCACAGAAATCCTAATTATTTAATTAAGAACCTAATTGTTATACATTCCTATGTTCCATAACATTGCACATGCCTTTAATGAACACTTAGCACCATGCAACCTGAAGATGGGGTGGCTCCTGAATGCATCAGAAGTTGAAACAGGCCTTCTATCATGTTTTTTTATTGTTGTTTTTTACATTAAAAGTGAGAGTCAATGAGAAAAGTTGTAAGTTAACTTAAATTTCATGTGAAATTTTACATTTATATGGTGTTTAATAATAGGCTGGCATTTGATCATTTCTCTGTAGATTTGAATTATGCTGGCACCTATACTGCATGGGCCCTTATCATTGACACTAACTTTGGGAGACGGAACATCAATTTCCTCCTTGCAAAGTGACACCGCTGCAGGTGAACTGATTATACTTCAGCTCCAGTTTAACCTTTTGATAACTGTACATACAGTATGTGAGGGGGCTACATACTAAATGAGGCCTTGATGACTGAGACTCATTAACAGTAATATGATTTTTTGTTTTAAACAGTGCAAATGAAAGGATGTCAGGAGTTGGCTTGGATTATTTTGGGGCCTAACTGTTATGACTCCCCAGGACTGTGTGGATCACTTAAGTGTCTGATTAGGATTTGATCTCTGTGTTTGTTCTGCTCATGGACACACAGTACGCACATATTGTGTGTCAACCATTCAGTCCTGTCTGAACGAGCCTGTCTTGGGTGAAGGGATCTACAGGGTTGGAACTTGTTAAAGGGTGAGATTGAGATGATGCTAGGTACAGTGGTGCATACCACCGGAGGCGGTACAGTGTACAGTGGTGTGTCTCGGTCTGGGTGTGGCTGTAGCGCTCACTCTACTCCTCAGTAGCGTGAGGCAGCTGCTTCTCATACAGGCTGAGGACGTGATGCACAAACTGGTACTGCTCGCATGTCTGGATCATCCCACCCCTGAGGAACATAGAAAGACACACACACACACACACACACAGAATGGTTGGTCAGTCGTTGGTCAGTTCCTCTTTCACCATTTGTGGTTTTGAGCAAAATGTCTCAACTGTTAGATGGATTGCCATGAAATAAGGTAAAGCCATTTGTGTTCTCCACAGTACAAATTATTTTAACTTTGATGACCCATAACGTTAGCTCTATCACAATCATCAGGGAAACAGTTGAATTATTCCATAATTCTGGTTTATACCTGCAAAATTCTTAACTTGTAATTTGTGTTCCTTTTCAATAAGCATGTATGCCTGCTTAACATCTGCAGGTTAGCATTTTCGATGTGAGCACGTTAGTAGGCTGGCGTAAGCTCAGTAGCAGAAGCCAGTCTCACAAAGCAGGTAGCATAGCTGTAGACTCTCATTCTTGTTTTTAGTATAGAGTATGGATAAAGTATAAGGTCAAAGTATGCTAGATCTTAAGTATGGCATTCTGTCTTCCAATTTCTTGTGAGACTATTTGTTTCTGAAGATAGTTTGTAGCTGTAGCTCAGAGCTATGTATTTGGCTCTGTCTTATAGTAAGGAGCAGTTCACCCAAATTTGAAAATTACTTTCTTGGTATTGTAATTCAAAACAGTGATGAAATATTATAGGCTAAACGGTCCATGCACATTTTGATAGTTTGATTTATCGTTTTGGATTAAACGATAAAACAAACCATCAAAAGGTACACTGACCGTATACGAGTGTGGCCTACTTTTGTTTAGGTACAGCAGGTTTTACATTTTTGTATTACAGAGGAGGATATTTTGTTTTTATAACAATGTATTGTCAGCTAGTTTTAATCCAAACTGCACAGATGTCTCACACGTGGAAGTAGCCCACATTTTCATTTACAGTTCAGCTTTATTTCGTACCTTATTGAAGTAAAATGGGGTCACCATTTAACGGCTCCAGCAAAGAATAAAACGTTTATCTAATTTTCTCAAACCGACCATTCAACACAACGGACCAGGACATTTTGACTTGTCAAACACAGGTGTAAATTATAACACTGCAGTATAATGGCTGCATTCTACTTGGGTGTGCCTGTTAAGAGCAAAGTTATTGTGCTTGTAAAATAGCTAGAATGTCTTACCGGGACACTTAAATGGAATAAAGCCATAATAGTTATTAGTTTCACATGCTTTTCTTGCTATAATAAGTTCCAAAGTCTATTATGAACGAAAGATCTTGAAATGTTTCGTAGTTTAAAACAGTTAAGGCCACATTTGTCTCATTAATACTCTGGGTAACTTCAAGGGCTTTCTCATGACCACTTTACTTGGCTGGAAAAAAACGTTTAGAATTACGCTGCATATCGCAAGAAGGCTGTGGACACACTGGTTGAAACTTTAAATTTTGTTGTTCTATTGAAAATGAAGCTCACCACAACTTACCGCAGCTCGTGATTTGAAACCAGATCAACTGAATCTACGTAGACTGTAGGCTTTTTTCCGACAACAGATTTAGATTTGATGCCAAGAACTAAAGAAAGACATGAGCATGGATAAGGGCTAAGAATATCTCACCTGTCCAGACGGAGCTGGCAGGTGGTTCTCAGGATGTCAACCACACCCTCAGTCCTCAGCTGCTTGCACAGGATGGAGGTGGCGATGAAGCAGCCAGTTCGACCTATTCCAGCACTTTGGATAAAAAGTTAGAGGGGTAAAGGGACACAGGAGAAAATGGATGGATTGGTGTATTGATTAGCACACCATTAATTTGATTAATGTCGAATCCTCCTAGGGGAAATCAGACAGCAGAGAAATGGAAGAAGACAAATGCTCTGCTCTGCCAAGTGGTTTCTATGATAAAAGTAAAAAGTGTTCCTCTCATATTAAGCTGGGCAATTTTCCCTCTGCATGTATATTATTAAAATAGTGTTAATATAGGCCTTTTGACACAGCCATGGGAACACATTTAAACTACGTATCTTTCCTTATATTTCAAACATGCTACTTTTGTACCTGCAGTGGACAATTATAGGGCCACTGGAGGGCGGGGCTTCCTCTCGGGCCCTTTCCACTTCCTGCACCAGTTCCAGAAGAGGTGGAGCCTTGTCTGGTGTCTTCTGATCAGGCCACGAGGTGTACCAGTACTGCTGCAGACTGCGCTCCTCTCCCCCACACTGGCGCACACACACACACACACACACACACATAAACACAGAGACGGGTATTCAGACAGAAACTGATGTGATCATGTTGCGTACAGGTACATGAGACAGACACACTGAGAACGATTTCTGATCAGCCTGTTGCTCTGCATGCATACCCAAATTGTTACCTTGGTGTTAGTTCCTACGGCAACAATGAACGCTTTTGAAAAAGAGGTTTTATAGTCTACTCCTCCCTTTCCCGTACTGTAAAATAATCAAATCCATCAACTGCAGACGCAGGCTGCATTTATTGAATGATCATGTTTGGCTTGCTGCCAATGCCACCATGACCCCAAATTCAATATAAATTGCCGTTGCATTTTAAGTCACATTGGTAGTGTGACTCTAAGAATGGCAATGTTGGCCTGTAGATCCACCACTTTGTCCACACTCAAATCTCTCTTTTTCTAATTATGTGATGAAGTGCCATGACATTTGTTCGAGACATTCATGGTCAATGATGAATCACAAGGACTCTGGTTATTCTGTGACCTTTCCTCTAGTGCCACCAGGTTTAAATTGTAGTTTTAAGTGAAATGTTTTGAACTTTTGGATGGATTGCCATGAAGCGTAGTACACAGATTCATGTTACCCTCAGGATGAATCCCTGAACTTTTCATCGTCTGGTCAAAATTTTAATTTGTCCAAAAGATGGTTAACCAGGTGACCACCTCCAGGTCTGAAAAGTGAAGCCAATGCAGAAGTGTCTTAAACTTGCATGCTTTATTATGGACATCAGGGGGCGACTGCTCTGGCTGCAGAAACAAGTCAGATTGTTTAGAAGTCTAAGAAAAAATAATCATACTCATCACTTGATTTATTACCTCAGTAAACATTGTAAACATGAGATTATGGTCTCGTTTTCTAGTTTAAATTCTTCTTCAATTCAGCATGATGCCAAAATAGTAGTTTTGCAATTGGTTTGAACTTGCACCTCAACTTGTTTTCACCAATGTTGTGCACTGTATTTGCCCTTTTTGTGAGTTATTGTTAACAGTCTGTCTGTGTGTTACCTTTAAAGTAAACACCCTCAGACTGTAGTCATCCTCCTGGGTTACTGTGACGACAGTGATCTCGATGCCCTCATGGGTCACAGTGTCCTCAGGCCAGTACTCTGCACATTTCTGCGAGACACAATGAACAGTCAAGTGGAAATGTTTACCCATCCGACTATCAACTTATCTTATCCGTTGATCTATTAATGCGTCCATCATCATCATCGCCCTGCCTGACCTCGTTTTTCTCCTCCAGGTTGGTGATCATCACTATGATTGGGCTTCTCTCCTGCCACACCATCCTCCAGAAGTCCCCCACTGTGTTCACGGTGGGACCCTGGGTGGCAATGTAGGCACACTCCTCATCCCCATAACCCTGCAGAGCGACGCACACACACACACACACACACACACACACACACATACACACAGAAACACAGAAACATGCCCAGTCTTGTCATATACATATAATCAGTTATTACCAGTCGTCAGACACATTCAGAATACAAGGTTTTATCCATGGAGCATGACTAAAGTGGCTACATCACAAAGCTGTGCTGGGACAAGAGCTTACATATTTTCACTTACTTTGAGATAATTAGCATTGATGTAAGTAGTGAGGAAATCGTCTTCATCCTGTGACTTCAAGATCACTCTGCTGTGTGTGTCTGGAGGACGACAGTGTGAGGTTACCATGAAGAAAGAGAGACAGATTTGTTGTAATTCAAAAAGATGACAGCAGCAGAAGAAGATGCTGTGGTGCTGTGTCTCAGTGTGAATATCAATATTCCGGTGCACAGAGACAGACCTTTTACAAACGCATCCGAGCTAAATAGTTGATGAGCATGTGAAATTATTCAAGAGGAGCAGCACAAAAAAAGCAGTTTTCACAATATTTACAACTGCATAATCTCTTTTACTGGCTGTTCCGACTCGTGTTGCAGCTGTACTCACTGGGTAAGATGGTTTTGTAGCGGTTCTTTCTCACCAGCCCTGGGTAGTTGTACTCCTTAGGGTCCACAAAGTTCATAGGAGTTTCCTGCCGATGGACACAGAACAATGGGTGCAATAACAATCAGCCCTTGCAGAAATGAAGGGGAAGTCTTAACCATGCCTTCTACTGTAAGATAACTATATCCAACATGAATTAAGTCATCCACTGGCCTTCATTGTGTGTGATGTGATTCTACAAACTACTTGTGTGTGGTCTTGAACGTGCATCTTTCTGCCTAGCAGACACCAGGATCCTCTGTGGGTTTTCGTATGCAAATATGCCTGTATCTATCCTTCCCTCGCCCACTAACACACAGTGGAAAAGCTTACGGGTGTGTGCAGAGCTCCGCTGGGTGTGTGTGTGTGTGTGTGTGCATTAGTGGCTGTGTCTATGTGTGTGTGTCAGCGTACATCTTTTCCGGTGAGTTTCTGTTCATCCCTGTTAATTTAAAGCGAGTAGGTGGGTGAGCTGCTGTTGCTGCACCTACATAAAACTCAGCCTGCAGGCTTTGGTCATCTATGGCCCGTGTGTGTAGCATGGCAGGGGTCAGGGTGTTTGTTCCCTGTCGGAGGTACTCCTTGGCCGTCTGGTCTCTGGGGGAGAGCTGTCCTCCGTAGCCGTAGGGCTCAGTGCAGCCCGGTGAACACATGTCCAAGGTCAGGGAAACGTTGGAGCCCCTCCTGTGTGACACATATTGAATCATACAAATGCATTTAGCTGTACAGTACGGGTTTACCCATCTGCAACGTGCATTGTGGATTTAAAATCCAAGTATGCAACATTTGTCTTCCAGATAACAATGCCAACAAATAAAACTAGTCACAATAAAACTTTTGTCTGTCAATTATTTCCAAAAATACTCCCAGCCCTCTGCCGCCCGCCCCAACCTCTCCTGAAGCCCCACTGGTGTGACGGTGAGGGTGGCGGCATCTCCCTCCATCCTGGTGTCGGTGCCTATTTCAAAGACCGGTGTCTGGGGCTCAGGTTCCATATCCAGCAGATCCTCCTGAGCGTCTGTCCACTCTGACAGGGTGAAGGAGGGCTGGCGGCTCACAGACTGACGGCGATCACCAATGTCCCGCGACACAGTTCCTGACGACCACAAGCCAGTGCCGTAACGCCACTTACACACCATGTGGACAACCTGGAGAGAGGTTAATGGAAGAAAGCAGTGAACGTGTATCCATTCATCAGCTAATAAACACATCAATCAAGCAGGAAACTGGCCAATCTGCAAATAGAGAAGTGAAAAATCCAGTCAATCTAGTTTCTTCCAAAGTCTTCATGGTTCTTTATGGTGAATTACAAAAATTCAACATCTACTATATTTCTCACATTCATGCGGAAATAAATGGGCAGGAATTGAATGGTTTCTCTAGCGTTTTACCATGATAGCACAGATGGCCACGCCAATGCCTGCAGTTCCATAGACAATCCAGTTGTGCTCTTCGGTGTTCACAACCTCCCTCATCAACACTATGGACTGAGCAGTGCAGAGAGAAAAAGACAGGGGGAGAGGCAGTTAGACACAGCCAACACTAGAGTCAGCATATCTTCAAGGTTTCTTTTTTGCACAGCTCTATTGGTGAGTTCCAGGACGGACACTTACGTCCATTCCAAAAATCGGGTGGCAGGGTAAGATGAAGCCAAGGTAGAAGTCAATGACCTGCAGGGCTTTGTAGATGGAAGAGAGAGGTCCATTTCCTTCCACCACAAAAAACACCCAGTACCCCTGGGAGGAGAGAGGGAAGGCAGACCGTCACCGTGAACTCACCGGTCACTCATGCACTGGTAATCAGGCAGCGCTGTGGCTTCTCTCAGGTGAAAAGGAACCGAGAAGAAAAGAATATTGGCCTATCGCGCAAGCACAAAGAATATGTAAACTGACCACATGCAGAACTAGTGTCATAATCATTGCGGCGTTTACAAAGCCCTAATTTATTTATTCATTTTTTACATATGGTAATGCAAGTGTCAAGTTCTAGCCCAAACATAGAGGTGCTTTGGTTGTCGACCAAACAACAGTAACAATTGCATTGCTAATGTTGCAGTTAAACTACTGTGGATTTTACTAGTCTGTGCTGAGCTGAAAACCAAAGCTTGTGCAGGAAGGTCATCATAATCTAATTTAAAGCAGACATTTGAGAAAAACATCAAACAAGTAAAGATTTTCTCCACTGGTTTCAACTGACGGCCATTCGCATACCGTGACTTGGGAGATGGCGAACAGTGCAGCCCAGCAGTAGATCTCAATCACGAGCGCATACACCTTGTGCATGAACACTTCCTCTCCCTGCGGGCTTTGGCCCCCTGCAGGTCCATCTTTGCACTTTGGGAGCCTGTCTTTTTTAAGGGCTCTGTCGCCTATTTTATCAGTCTTTGTGGGCTCATCTAGCCAGACGGGGTCCTCGTCGGGCCTCAGGAAGATGGAGTCCTCAGTGTGGGAACGGGTGGAGCTGCTCAGCCGGCGGGTCATGATACTCCTGTTAAATGAAGATAGTCCCAAATAAACCACTGTTAAAACAAGATAAATACAGTGTGTGCTTTAGTTGTTGCTTTAAAGGTGCTAAATTCAATATTCAGTCACCCTCTGGTTCTCTTCCAGGTAAACGATGTTAGCTCTGTCTGCACTGTTGCCTTTGTTTGCACCATTTGTGCTGTTAGCACCGTTGGCTGTTAGCCGTCAGTGTAGCCATCGCCATGTTGAGAGCTGTGTGGGGATGATCTATCAATCATTGATTTGCTCTTCATTTTTAGACAAGCACCTTTAACCCCTTATAAACACAAAAAGTCCAGTGCGGGTAAAGTTGTTTGCTTTCTCTTTTCTTCACAGCGTTCGATTATAAGACATCCCGCGTGAATAAAATGAAGACATATCACACTTTTGTCTTTCATAAGCAATCGCGCTTTAATGCTTTTTGTCTTAGTTCCTTTACTACAGAAAAAAATTCAACCAAATTACGTATTGATTTCTAGTTCAATTACATGTTGCCTGTGTTTGTCAGGTTGTGTTTTTAAATGAGCGTGGATATGACAGAGAGAGTTGTGTTTATTCCACAGGCCTATTCAGATGTACAGCTAAGCGACTTGGAGTGGCTCTCATCCCCGGATCCTCTTGTCTCCCTCAGATGGGACTCTATTGGGTGAATGTGTGTGTGTATGTGTGTGTGTGTGTGTTTGAGAGAGAGAGAGAGAGAGAGAGGCTCTATTGTGGAGAGATGAGTCAGGGGTAGAGTGTTTACAGCCCTGTCCGTTGCCTTGGCAACAGAGTGGCTCTCATCCCTCTCATTCGTCCTGAGCATTATCATCTACTGACAACACACACACACACACACGCACACACACACACACACACAAACACACATGCACACAATCACACACTCGCACGCACGCACACACAGTCAGTCAGCAGTGTATTCAAAGCCCTTTTCCGCCCTGCACTTTTGTCCTTCAACCATTAATAAAGGTGTTTTGTACATTTGGCTGATTACCACCACGTGGTGTGTGCGGATGTGTGAATGTGGAGGCCTGTGAGAGTGGTGGTGTAGTGTTTTATCTGAATGTGTTGCTGATGGCTAAATTTGTCAGCAGTGAGTTTGGAAGTTTTTTTTTTTTTTCTTCAATTTAATCAACTAACAATGCAGACGAAAATGACTTTCCAGTTGGCTTACTGGGATATCAAAAAACTGAACAGCCTGTCACATGACTCACCTATGATAGATGGCAGGGAACTGGTGGGAGTCAGATCACATGATCAAGATAAATCCTGTATCCCGTGGCAACCAGCCATTGTCAGCCATTGTGTGGCAGAGTCAAATCTGAAGGACAGAAGATAACAGCCAAACACCACATGTCATGTGTTGAAAACTTAAAAATAAAGAAAAGAGAAATATGTTACGGGTCATCTAAACACATACGGTAGAGACACCTTGGGACTCAAACTCAACTGGTTCAGGTTTTGAATCTTGTTCCATCAAAAGATGGACCTGAGTAGCACCCTTGTCAGCTCCCAGCTGTGGTTTCATGAGCGGAGGATGGAGATGTAAGGTGACACAGTAAACTGTCAATATTTCTCCCCCTCTCTTTCTTTCTCTGCCTCTCTCTCTCTCTCTGTCTCTCTCCCTCCCTACGAGGCGGGGATGATTTGAGCCAGACTAAGCAGACACCCTCAGAAATACATTTAGATTGCTCCAGTCGAATCAGTATGCATGAAGTCAAGCCTTCTCTGCTCTCCTCTCCTCTCTCTCATCTCCCCTCCTCTGCTTCTGTGCCGCTGGACCCTGTTGAACGAATGAGGTGAGCTCAGCGGAATATGAGACCACACCAGTAGCAGGAGATGAGTCTCAGTGTGTGTGTGCGTGTGTGTGTGTTAGAGAGAGAGAGACAGTGCAGGTGTTGACCAGAGGGGAGCTGCTTTGAGTCCTTTTCTATCTCTCTTTGCTTGCTGCGAAGGTGGTTTTGAAGTGATGACGCCAGTTAGGCCGTCCTGTTGTCTTGGCAACGTGCATACATACAATGTACACACACACACATATAACGTACACACACACACACACACATACACACACGGATTGTGTTGTATAAGAGGAGCTGAGAAAGTTCAGCTTGCTTCCGTTTTCAAACAATAGCTGGACGAGGAGATGAGTTGATGGCAGGATGAATGGGAGGAGAAGCAGCTCTGTTTATGTGTGTGAAGGTTGTCTGAGGCAATGACGCAGTGAGGTTGGCGTTTTGGTAACTGTGGCAACCAACATATACCGTAGCACACACACACACACACACACACACACACACTTTGGCAGACACACTGCATGAAAAATGAAAAGCACAAACATACATCTGCACTGGGAGAGCAGTGACAATATTCACGTTTGTCGAAAAGAAAATATCGTCCTCTCTTTGCTTTGATTCTTTGAGGTAAATATCTTTGTTGTTTCTGTTGTTCGCTTTGGCTGCTGAGTGATCGCTTGGTGAAATGTTTGGTACATTTTACCAGGGCTGTAGCTCGGATTTTACAAATAGTGAGGTCATGATTCACACCTTTTGACAAGACACCGGAACCAAAATCTGACATTTGGTTAACCATTGTATTTTACATCCCAACATGTGTCAAACTCTCTTCTCACTGACAGGAATTCTAGAGTAAATACATTCTTATTTACATACATTTTATATAAAACTAAAATCAGAATATAAAATGCGAAGTCCCCCAAGTACAGGAAACATTACTGAGGACATGACCTCAGTGTCCTCAATGGTAAATAAGGCCCTGCATTTGACCCTTCTGTCTCTTTTGTTTTTTATTTTATGTTTAAAATGTTGCCTCATGTCACACTGTGAGCTTCAGTTTCATGTATTCTGTATCAGCATGTTCCAGCTATTGGATGTTAACACTGACAAAAAAAACACAAAACCAAGACTCACTTGTTTTTACAATCCAACAGATGGAAATATTCTACATGTCTTGTTCATCATTTTGTACACCTTTCTCCAAAGATTGAGCCTCATTTGACACACATTTGGTACCTTTGGAGACTTTGGGATCCCCACGAGAATTTAAGATAAAGTTCTGTGGGTTTGAACGATGATGATGATTCTTATAAATACCCATAAATGATAACAAACCGGCTCTTTTAACCTCAGACACAACGTCCCTGTCGATTGTTGGGGAGCTCACAATAAAGTTTGTATTCAAAATTACACAAAATCAGAGCGTGACGGACAATACCAAGCTGCAGTAACGAGCTGAATATTAGTCATAGAGGGAGGCAGTTTGACTTAAGTTAAACACCTTTGACAGTCTAATGATACGTAAACTCCAATTAGCCATAATACAGTATTCTGGGAAAAATTGATTGGGAAAAGTGGATTGAAAAGTGGATGAATCCTGACAACAGATTCAGCCTCATCCTCACTGAAGTTCTGCTGTCTTTGGGTCCTTACAAACACCACCCCCTCACTCTTCAAATAGAGTATGTGTGTAGTGTTTCCATTGATCTGCGTCCATTCAAAGCACCCAACATCCAGCTGAGTCTGAACGGAGCCATACAATAAGCCCCAGCAGAACCACAGGACCAGGAAGCGCTGTCTGCTGACAGCTGTGTAAAGCTCAGTTCCTGCAATCAGGAACAAGGGGAATTAATCTGGTTTATTTTTCTCTTTTGGTGACAGCTGGCTCGTGTTTTAATGGACATTCCTAAGGCTCCCATCAGCGTGTCCGTCTGGAAACATAATGTGTTCAAATCTGCTCTATCTTTATAAATGTGCAGGATTTGTTTGCGCTTTGTCCCCGCCATTACAGCAAAACTCTCAGGCAGAGCAGCATTTCCTCTTTGCAGGTGAATCAAAAGCGCGTCGAGGTTGAAGTATCGAGCGTGTTGTCGAGGTGCTGAATATGGCAGGGAGACGGGGTAAGAGGAAGCTCTTACTGAAAGTGATGATGGGATGGTAACTTGAGAGAAAGTCACGAGGGCCAAGACCTGCCTTGTCAACCTTTCTCTGTCATACACACTCACACAGATAACATCCTGGTATATCAATACACACATACGCTCACAATGACCTTAGAATGAAATACCTAGCAAGCCTGCAGCTTCCTCATGTATATCCCAGAGACGGATAATCAATCAGCTCTATTGTTTACATACACTCCTACAAATTCTCAGAGCAGCTCCAGGGGCATTTCAAAGATACATTTTATTAACACATGTACAAACTTACAATGCAGCCCAAGCTATACTGTATGAATAATTGAAATGTGCTGCATAGGGAATTGATTCACAGGCTGCTGAAGATACATATGGATTCCCAGTGACAAAGGACTGCGTTACATGATTGCACTGCATCAAAACACCAGTGCAGGAATGGCATTCTCTGGCAGTCATTCATGCTAAGACAAAACACTATTCATATCACGTACATGGCTACGGAGAGCTAGAGGGACCACACAGTGCAGAGCTGGATGGATTAGTAATGAATCACCCAGGGAGGTGGACTGTTGCATCCCGCTCTGGTAACTCCCACATTGTCACAGAGACATGATACAACACAGAGGAAATTAAGCTTCGAATAATAATAGATGAGAGAGGAAACACTCAGTGAGAGCAGCACCAAAGAACCAACCTGTTGGCAAATAATCAGTTTTGATAATGAGAAAAATGAACACGCACCTACAGAGGCTACATCACACATCCCTACCTATTCACAGCCAGGGAAGCGCAGCAGCCATATGAACAGTGGGGGCTTTGCTGAGGAATTGGTATTCACCTCGTGTCGCACAACCACAGAGGGGGAATGAGGGAGAGACGGAGGGAGCAGAGGAGGGCTGGAACAGTCACTCACCCAGAGCCCTAAGTCTGGTTAGGATAAGTCCTCTTACCTGGCTGAGCCCGTCTTCACATCGCCATCTGCTGCTCTGCTCCCGTTGAGCCAAAGACCAGGAGCCAAACACCAAGAACCACGGCAATCCCTTTACTGCTCCTCTGTCTGGGAGAAGAGGGAGCGTGTTTGCATGTAAGAAGGAGACAGACTGACAGCGAGAGGCAGAGGACGTGTGTGAGGGTAGGAAAGGCAGAATCTGAGAATGTGTGTTTGTGGGAGAAATAGAGGAATTAAAAAGTCTGAAGGGTTTTCTTTTGTTTGTATCCTGGAGGGGAGAGAGAGAGAGAGAGATCCACAGGCGGCAGCTTCGTCTAGGTATATGCAGCAAGAGGCTGTACGGTAGCCTTGGCAACAGAGCCAGAATGAGGAAGAGCGAGCGAGGGAGCTGGAGAGATAGAGAGAGAGAGAGAGAGTGTGAGAGAGAGACTCTGTGTGTGTGTATGTGTGTGTATTAATCACATTGTAGGCACATAAATCTGTTCACACAGGCACATTACCGAGTCTCACCTCCAAAGCATCGCTCCCACATGTTAAACAATTCAATTTTGGGGTTAAAGGACGAAGCTGGTGATATTCAACATTTAAATTTTTGTCAACAAATCCTGTAAAAACACCAAATCCAACGGCAAATGTATCCTACTAACACGTTTTATTATGTCACCAATATCATAGCCCTCTATGCCATAGACCTCAATCCCACAAACTGTTCAAAACCACAACGCTGCACGGGGCGACATGTTTCCTTATTACCAGGAGTTTATTTCAAGTCAATCCCACATACACTGTTCTGCTGTCGTAAATAGACCCCCCAAAAAATGATTTAGCCTTATTGAAAAATAAAACAATATAATTATTTGTCATTTTTATAGATATATATATATCTTCAGTTGGATCAAATACATTTTGGGTTGAGACCCACAGACGAGAAGCTGGAAATTAATAAGAGACGGACAAACGTGTTGGTGTTTTTTGTCTTTACATTTGCTGACAATAATAAAGACATAGAATGTCTCGAGCCGTATCTTTTAAGGTAAGTCCTTCTGTCTGTGTCCCCCTAAGTGACAACAACACGTTAGTGTGTGTGTAGGGGTGTTGGATCATAACACATCACTGAGCAGTGAACCCCCCCCCCCCCCACTGTCACCTCCTCTGCTTCCAAGTTATAGGATCTGCAACCCTCTCACCCTGTTTCTCACTCCTGAGCCCCCCGCCCACTCGTCGGCATTCTTTTTCCGGTCGCCATCATTTTTGTCGTCCCCCATGTTCTCGCTGCTCTTACTTATACCCCCAACCCCTCCTCCTCTGTTGCTCTCTGTTTCCGTACAACCTTCTGTCATTTCTTGTCTCTCCTCCCTTCAGTGTGTGATGCTCTCTCTCTCTCTCTCTCTCTCTCTCTCTCCCTCCTTCCTGTCTTGCCATATGTTAGCCTTTCCCTGTCAGCTCTCTGAACTGAGCAGCAGAAAACAGCCAACAGTCATCTGATCAACACAAATACTGGGAAACACAAACACTACGTCACTTTTTTTTTTTCAAATTGAAATTAGTTTTATTGACATGACCATATAGCATTGCCAAGTGTTGCGTAATGTTCACAATGTACTTACACAATAATTCTGAATGTAAGAAAAAAAGACAATCAATGGCATTCACATTGAGCTCTACTTCGCATGTACACTGTACTGTATTGTGCATCAGTGTACTACTGTATACATACTATAATTAAAGAAACATAAATCTTTGCAGACAAATAATTTAATGCTTAAATAATTAATTGAATGGCCACTATGGTGCAGTGGAAACAGGCCAGCTGTAAACATAACATATGATCACATCCAGCAGCAGACACGGAGCAGCATTAGCATTCATTTGGAGTCCTGTTTCTGGTCACCTGGCAAATGAGTCTGTTCTTAATCTCCACCAACTCCTGAGGCAAATATCTGACTCTGCAACATTATCCACAACGTTCAACAGCTTTGTCGGCTATTTGGTGGGCAGCTAGCGTACAGCAGGAATTTAGATCTTTGTTTTTTGGTGCCTTCTGTGTCAACCAGACTGGAAGCTCCGGGTCTGAAAAGTAAAGCCGATGCATATAGTGCCTTCAACTTGCATTATTTCTTGTAGCTATCAGGGGGCGACTCCTCTAGCTTGCCTGGCGCTGTCCTATAAAGTAACAAAATCCACAGAGTCACGTGCATCCAGCCAAGAAATAGTCACACACACCCTCTGTGAAACCGTGTTTTTTTTATTTTTACACTTCTACAAACAAGATGTTTTAATTAATGAGCTTTAGAGGTGCTGGTAGGCAGAGAACTATGAACAGAGTCAGGCTAGCTGCTTCCAGTCTTCATGCTAAGCTAACACTAAGCTAAGCGGCTACTGGGGCTAGCTGCAGATATACCGTACAGACATGAGAGCAGTGTTTATCTTCTCATTTAACTTTTAACTAAAATAACTTTAAGCGGATATACTGAAACTGTACTGAGCTTCTTTTTTTAGATTTTTTAAATGATCTCTTTTTTGATTAACATTATTTAGACCATTACTATTAAAGTCGATTGTTGAACTATCTCCTTCTATTGAACACACTCTCTGACTCTTTCTCTCTCCCGTTTGCCTTCACTATTTATGACCCACTTCAGAGTCCTCTCCTCTCTGTCCATATATCTCTCCCACACAGCCTGGCCTTCCCCCGCTCCAATCAACTAAATGAACTCCTCTGTCCTTCCTTATCTTCTCCTCCTCATCCCCTTTTAAAATGACCTCACACACACACCCACACACACACACACACACACACACACACACACACACACACACACACACACACAGTGCAAATGGTGAGTGTGAAAGAAAGAAATCATCTAACTTAATTAATGACACGGGAAAAAGAGGCTGATATCCGGCGGCCTTGAGCCGTCTGCTTCTCAGCTGAAACATCAAACTGTTACATCACTTCCTCATTTTCTCTCGCTGCACTACAAACTGACACGATTTTACTGTAATGTGGTGTTAATGTAAATTCAAATTCAAAGCAGCAGAATTGTTGTTACTTCCTGGAAAACTAGAGTAAATAAGTTACAGTACGCATAGAATTATACCAGCATCAAAATCACCAACACTGTCATTTGTCAAAACAAAAAAAAAGACGATGATTACAATTTTTGAAATCTCAGTTTAATTCCACTAGTGACAAATGGAGGCATCTAGTGGTCCTAATGGCTCACTGCCGGAGAGTTTAGCCAAGTGACATTTAGTCTTGAGAGTTTTTAACAGGTTAATTGAGCTCAAAGCTTTCCTGTCACTAAACCCCTACCAACCTGAGATTTGAATGTGTCTCATCACATCACATCCAGGTGATGATGGCAGCTTGCAGCCTGCCTATAAGGAGTTATAAAACACAGTCTAACACAGACAGACAGGCTAATCTTGCTGCACATTTGCATTGAGAGTGAATCAGGGAGCTGATGACCGCAGTCAGCTGCAGTCGGCTTGTTTCCTGTGGACACATTGTGACACAGTGCTAGATCTGTGTGGAAACCATATTCACTGGAATGCTGAATGAAATATCGTGAGATATATTCAGTCAGGCTCAAACCAAACACAAATCATCACAAGGCATAAAAAGTTAAAGAGAAAAAGTCCATTCATTGTTACTGATACAACAATGGTAACATTATACAGTAAGGTACACAAATAACTATTTTAAAAGAAAATTATTAGGAACTAATTAAAGCAGAACTGATTTGACGCGTCAGGATCAATTTACTGATCTATTAATGGGGAAGTGTTACTGAACCTGAGGAACAGCTGTGTGGTCCAGTTGCACTGGAGAGAGTTTTCTAACATCTGAGACTATAATCCCTGATGTGTATCTAAGTTTGGGCCTGGAGACCACAAATTTACGTCAAACAGATAGCCTGTGTTTAAAAAGGTTGGGTGGCTGGGGTTGGTGTGGTGGGGACCACGGCTGTCTTCTGGGGCCCGGTTCTGGGGCCATTTGTGGGAATGGGACTGGGCTCACACCTGTTGATGTCTCAGGGGTTTTGAGGGGTGGTCGCAATCTCTGTCTCTTTCTGTTCAGGTGGGCCTGGCCCTGGTGAGTTGCCAGGGCTTCTGGACACTCTGGAAAAGGTGGTGGAGAGGAGGACACTGAAGAAACTGAAGAAACTGTTTCATTTGTTCATTTTGGAATACCTTTCATAGGTATTCCAGCATGATCTAATTCCCAGGGCTTCAGACATTTTGTCAAGGCCCCTGCCGTCTGATACTGGCGCACGGCAATCAGGAGGGGTGACGCAACGCTACGCAACACTACGCAAACTGATGCAATGTATTGTAGGCTACATAATATACAAAATTTACTTAATTTGAACCCAGAGCACAATCTTTTAACTAAGATAAGATAAGACAATCCTTAGTCCCACAGTGGGAAAATTTGCGAGGCTAACCAAGAAGTTTTGTTGGCTGCCAAGCGTCACCCAGTGTGTTGAAAAGTGATGCCGGGTCCTGACCATGCGTCCGTATGAATGATAACCGGTTGGGTATTAAGTAACTGTGGCACATGTTGATGATTCTCAGACCTTTACCTATTCTCAGACCTTTTAAAAATATTTTTGCTTGTTCATATTTGTAAGTAAGTAAACACCTCCTCCCAGTTCCTGTGTCGTTATTTAAAATACTTTGACATGTCTCTGTCGCCCGAGGACCAGATATGGACGGAAAAGGTGACATATCTTCACCTACTGTAATATGCAATTAGAAAAAAACTATCACAGTTATAAAGGGGAGAACATAACATATTAATAAAGCCAACAATAAAGCTAGAACAAAAGGCGGTTGCATGTGTGCGATGACACGAGTGGATTGATAATAGGGTCAGTTTACCTTTTAATGTGATGCTGGATTGGAAATGACACAATAGTTTAAGTGTTTATTTGTGAATGAGTGTGAGTCTGTGTGTGCCTAACCATTCCAGTAGCGTGTGTAGAATTGTGCAGGTTTTGTTTCATGTATCCTAGTCAACAATGCATGTGTTTGTGACAGCGAAAGAAGAGATTGAGTCTATCTGAGGCTAATCTGGGAAGAAGAAAATACAGAGAAATTCAGATGTCTTGTAATAGAGTTTTTAATGACACGTGCAAAGATAATGTCTTGCATCTCCGCCCTCACTGCAGAGATCTGTCACTGCGACCTCACCATCCCACTGTTGTTAAGTAACCCTCTTTCAACACTGAACGGATCCCATCGAGGGACGAGACTTCAGATGGGACAGTTTCAAACGCTAGATTAGCAGTCGCTGTTTACTCCAGCGTTCAAATCGAAACAACAAGCTCTGACAGCGAAGATGTA